TTCATCGCATGACTTCTAGGGTCCCTGGTTTCGAAAGGAGCCAAATGATATGAAACACTTCTTGGAGCCTAACGCCTCTAAAACGAATCTTTCACACAGCCAAGGATAAAATGATTCGGTCAGGACAAATAAAAATACTGAGTCATCCAACATACAGGTGATTCGATCCACAGGGGCAGCAGCGGTTGCTTTGCTCTTTGGCAAACATACAGTAATACAGATTCACCGGCCCCCGCCTTCCAAAAATTTCCAAGATACCTTTTCGAAAAAAAGAAATCTGGAGACTGACTTTTCACAGGCCAAACGTGGCTGTTCTATCGGCGAAAGAGAATAGGAACGACCGAAGCAAGCTTCGAAGGTATGTTCTTTCACAGGTTCTTTCTTGGAAATGAGATGTGAAAGCCTATACAGAGTGTGCCCCGGGGGGGGGTCCAGTTCTTCCAGTTCCAGTTCCTGCGGGGTACACTATGAGCCTATATAAGTTTATGCTCCTGAGTTAGAATAAACGTTTCCCTAACCCAGGGATCGAAAACGACTGACACCAAGTCTTGATTCAAAAGACAGGAGCGCTGAGGTCCTAAAATAGTTGCGGCGCATCCTTTGTTTTGCGCACAACTGTACCTCTGTTTGGGATCCATTTGACACAGCCACACTACAGCCACCGCACCCAACGCAGGAATGTGTTAACGGTCGAGTTTGCTTGTGCAAAAACGAAGTTCGCATCGAAACATCACCGAGGACAGCCAGCCCGCCAGCCCTTGGAACATCACCCTCGCTGGAGCCGAAAGTCCTGCCACTCTGTGAACTCGTCTTCGAAGACCACCTGCAAGTCTTCAGTCTGGAGGGCGAGGTGCGGAGATGGAAGCAGCGGAAAGAAGGTCGACCTGTCTTCTGAATACATCCGAACTTCCGAGCTCCAAAAATGAGACAAATCAAATGACATGACTTCCAAGTTGGTGTCCCCAGAAGGGTTTTAAGATGGTTTGTAACGAAAAAACACCTGTCTACTGTTTACCGCCCTTGTGCCTTCATGGAACTTCAAACAAATCCAAATAGAATTGTCTGCCAGATCGTGCTAGCATCAACACAACTCAACCTGTCAAATCTCCAACACCACACAGCTCAGCTCACCTGCCAGAAGCCTCTCCCCTGTGGCGCAGGTGCCAGTCGCGCACGGAGCGCCGCGTGGCGAGACACCACCCTGCTCCAGGCAGCACGCCAACGCGCCATAGAGCCGCGGATGAGATGGCATGACCTGGACGGGTCAAGAACGTTTTCGTGCCCCGGGAGCGAAGCATGGCGGATGAGTCTTTGGTGTCCAACTACCCCAGGAACCACAACGGATGGGAAAGAAAAACTTGATGCTTCTGTAGGTGAGCTGCTGTTCCACATTGGCGCTGGGGTTCATCAACGTTTCGCTCATCATACCTTCCTGCAGAGGCGTGCAAGGAAAGATCTCGTCTATCTGCTCTGACCTGGCGCGACGATGGCGTCTTACATCTTTTACAAATATCTCAGGCTTCGAGAAGACTCACTGGAAGCCGAGTGTGAAGGAAACTGGAAGGGTGAAGCCAGTCTGGACTCCAACTGTGGAGTCCAGATTGCAACATCTGCACACTGAATAATCCTAGTTTTGCTGCGGGCACAGCCCGAACCATCCACCGGATTGTCCCCCGGAACGGAACACCCGGGTGTTCTTGGTCGTTTCACAACGCCGTCGTTCGGTGGGCGTCCTTCCGGCCGAAGCCGGCCTTCCGGCAAACCATTGATTCACCCAAGCATCGAACTCGGGAGGCGTGACTCGCCAGACTGAGGCGTGACCGCCCAGCTCGCAAGGTGCACGCAAGCGCCTGAAGAGAAGACACCACAGTTTGGGTGTGTTTGTTGATCTTTTTGGGTGAAGACAACTCCCTGCTACAGGAGAAAGTGGAACAAACGTGCTCCAGACAGGTAGAAGTGATCAGAGGCAGCCAGGCTGCCTCTGGGGTGTTCCGCGGTCCGCTAGAATCCTTGGGAACCGGGGAGTGTCCTCACTGGGTTCTTAGAGTCCAACTCAAGTGGCCATCAGAACATCCAACCTGTCGAATCCAAAGTGTTACATACATCATTGGTATCGTCCAGAATCTTTCCAACGTCTTGCCACAGAAAACCATCATTAGTTTGGTGCACGATGATGCCGACTGCCAGGCGAAATGTTCTTGGCAGCATACTCACTGCCCGGCTATATCGCCGCCTAAACAAAACATTGAAATTTCACAAGACGCCTTGCAGGTGTCCTCTGGCAGTGCTCCACCACCAGGGCGGCCTCGCGGAGGAATTCCTGGTGTACCGCGCAGGCGCAGCACGCGCGTTTTCGATCGCGAAACGAAAAACGGTCGTCCTGAGCGAAACAAAAAAGGCTTCATACCCCAGGGGACTGAGCAATATGTACCTGCGTCTGATGTATACATGCTTGGGGGTGGATATTTGGGACCAATCTTTTTTTTTAAGTCCGGAACAAACTGGCTAGCATGGTGTGAGTGCGGCCGAAATGACTTGACAGGGCGCTGCCGCAATGACATCCTCGACCAATAGCACTCATCGAATTGAAGGAAGAATCGACAAGGAAACTGTTGGATGAAAGGGGAGGTTTGTAGAACATCGCCAAACTCCCTTGAAAGGCGGAAGTTGATCAGCAGAGAATCCCCCATTTTTATATAATATGTTACAGTTATAGTATATTATTATATAACTATAACATATATATATATATATAGCCCCCCAAAAAAAAAATAACTGAGGTCAAACACAGCACAATGAACCGCGGGCACATGAGGCTGTGATGCAAAAAAGGCCGATTGAAATCCAGAAAAGCTGGACCTGTTGCCGGAAACTCACTGTCGGAAGTCAGTCCAAACAGTTTCAAGAGGACTCAGTTCTTAGGTCTGACCCAACCAGAACTCCTTGGCCGCGGCCAGGTGTTGCTCCGGTTGGGTCAACGCAGGTGTTGCTCCTCTCAGCCCAGCTCGCCTCCAGCCAGGTGCACATCCGGTCGCTCAGACGGGGATCATAGATCCACTCCACTCGAATTCTCGCTGGGCTCGCTGGGCTCGCTGGGCTCAGCATGGCCTGCGCTGGGCTCAGCACTCCGACGTGGTGCGCACACCAAGCGGAAGCCCGACCCAGCTGCATCCAGGTCGACCCAAAGAAACCAGAGACTCCATGGTGCTGCCATAGGACTGCCGATCAGGCCAGGGGTGGTGGTGCCAGGGGGGGTTGGTTTGGGGCGGCAGTCCTATGGCAGACATGGAGTGTCTGGGAATATATAAATACAAAACATCTAACTTCCGAAACGGTCACCAGTAAGAACTTGGGTTCTCCAGGTTCCAAAACAACTTCAATGTGCCTCCACTTCCAAGAAATATTCCCGTTGATTCTCCGGATGCATGTCATGCTGCGCCAAGGTCTCCCACTCCGGCGCCAAGACCAACTGTTCAGACGCACAAGCAGGTGACGCCTCCGGCGAAGGGCGGCGAACGGCGGTGCGGTCGAAGGGATTGGTGAAACGTGGCTGCTCTGCTGCAGCTGAAGGTCTTTTGGGGTTGGTCTTTTTTACGTCAATGTGTGCATGATGAGCGCGTAATCTCACGTGATGACCAAATATTTTGAAATACGGTCTGCCAGAAGCATTCCCGAAGACTCAAAGGTGAAATGCATGGAAATCGCTCCTGCCCATAGTAATTCACACAGATCGTCGGCTGGATGCCCTGTCCATCAGCGGCTTGTTCAGGAGTGACAGCGGTACTCCTCAGGCGATGTTTGACCTCACGCACGGCCAAATCCAATGACCTGGGCAGGCCAAAATGGCGCTGTTGAAACACTTACTTCCCCAAGAATCATTCTATAGACCCTCCGAACTGGAGGGTTTGGACCCTGCAGGTTCCGCAGGGGGGTTGGACCCGAACCCAACATACCCAACATTCACCGAACTGGTCCTCGATTCTGGTTAATATCTAGAAAGAACAACGTCCAAGTCGTCTCGGATGTCTGTTTCGTCTGCACCGAGGCTGGTGGAGCCGAAAGGCTCAAAGGACGGGCACCAGAGGGGTCAGAAAAGCGGAACCCTTATACCGTAGCTTAGATGATTCGCAAGGCTGGCAGCTTAAGCCATGGTTTAGCCATGATCATGGTTTTTTTCCAAAGCTACGGCAGCTTCAAAAGCATAAGCTTCAAAAGCTACCTTAAGCTATATACCAGTGCTTCCAACTTAAGGAATTGGGGTCGAATCATCAATGACTCCTGCGGGTCGCCTCTGGTCACCCCCCCTCTCCACCCCAAACCCTTCAGGCAGGACTCCTTTCTCAGAGGCTGCAATGAAGTGGCGGGCGGACCGGAAAAGCCAGAAATTTCACCAACAAATTCATGGCTCCTAGATGGCCTCCAACCCACAAGCAATGGCCAAAGAACCCATTCCTGTAGCGATGGATTCCAACCTACTAGCGATGGCCTTCAACCTACAAGTCCACAAGGTGAGCTCCAAAAATCGTCGATCCCCGTGTTGAACCTTCGCAAGACTCCAAACTGGCACGTCCGGTGTCCGCACGGTAACGGCCGGTTTCCACTCACCATCTTCTGCCCATTCCGCCGGTGTCCTGCAAACCCAGCCGCGTGTGGCTCACCATCTGTCGTCGGGTCAACTCGGTGAACCAGCCGACGGTCTGCCCGAAGTCGCACGCAACGTCCTCGTCGACATCGCGGCCGTGGGATTCCAGGTCCACCCAGAAGCTTCGGCAGCCCAAGGCTGACTGGGCCGCCTAAGATCGTGCGCGTGGGCGGAGCCCAAAGGAGGGCTCCGACTGTGGGAAGTGGAAGAGGAATGAGAAATTGCGGTTGGCCCGGTTGGCCCGGTTGGGTCTTTTGTCATGAAATGATCGAGAGGGTGCCTTCTTTTGGGCCTTTTGGCAGTGAAACTTTTGGGCGATGCCATCACATCTCACGAATGACTTCCAAAAGCGATCCCATTTCGCCCTAGAAAGCAAGTTCATGCAATTTCCACATCCACATCCCCTTTCGATCGGAACAAAAGAACACACTCTATAGCTCCTTTTCAGGCCCCCGCGCGCGTTTGTCACACTGGCGCTCCCCGGTCCCGTCCAGCCATGCCTGTGTCAAGGCCACCAGCAAGAGCTCCAACGGCTTCAGGTCGCAGGATGGCACATCCAAATGTCGCACCTACCGGGCGGAACGGACTGGTAGAGGACCTTCCGATCCCCCCCCAAAAAAAGAGGGACTCTAATATACTCTAATTACGTATTCGATTTTGGAGCGGGTTGGAGCACCAAGCCGCGCCCCGGGTGAACGATGTCGGTGCCGTAAATTTGTTTTTGGGAGCGGGGAAGGTTTTTGTTCACCCACGCAACCCCGACTCAGTCGCCGGAGCATCCAAGCGCACCACAGGTCGCGGCGTTTTTGGTCGCGGTATGCCACCACAGGTTCGTCGGCCTCGTGCTTGGCAGAGCCACAAGTGCCAAAATCAAGCTCCTGGTGAGACGGAGGGACTGAGGATGGCAGGTTGGGCTACATGTGTAGCACATGACAAGTTAAGTTTCCCTTGGAAAAAATGATATGTTGTATAGTAGATAGTGAATTCTTGGAGGATCCTATGGTCTCTTTAGATCCATTGCCCAACATATTAAGGTTTTGAGATGACTTGGGGTTCTTGACCTGCGGTTCTTGGTATGTTATATAATATGTGGAATGAGTAAATATAACACATCCTGCGGACTCTTGGTATGTCAAACTGTGTTGTTTCGTTCATGGTACATGGGATCCAAATCTAGTGCGTTTTGAACCGTCATCCTGTGTAGACCTCGCGGAGCTAAATAGACGTCGTTTCGCGAATTACTATATGAATTAAGATACAAATGGTTTCGTCTCGCTCAGTAAGATGTCCGGCCCACGTTAAACAAAAAATGAAAGGAAGAGGTTCATCTTTGCATTGCTTCGTTACATCCTTTTGCCCCCGTCAATCTCTATCATCCACTCGCGGAGACGGACGGAAAGAGGTTGACAGGAAGCAAGAGGGTGCTGTATCCCATGGCAAGTAAAGCGAATGAGCAAAAGATATGACATGAACATCAAGAGGGTCTTAGGTCTTAGACAAGATGATCATGAATAAATGATATGACATCATGGTCAAACTGACCATGACCTCCATTTTGCTTTTGGGAAAGAATGAGTATCAGTCCTACCCACCGAAACCAAACTTCCAAAATCGACTTCCGCCACTCGCGGCGCCGGAGTCACGGCACTCCGAACAGCACGGCGTCCAAAGCGTCCGAAGCGGCCTGAGCGGCCCAAGCAAGGTCTCGATCCACCTGGCGAAGAGGATGAGCGGATCGTCCGCCACTCGAGCGACGACCACAAGTCCGAAGAAGGGTCGATCTCGATCTGACCGCCCTTGGCCGATCGCGAAACCCGATCGACGGAGAGTTGGTCTACCGCCGATCGACGGTGCGGACGTCGGAGGTGGAGTCCGACCCTTCGCTCCAGTCAGAGAAGACGGGAGAGTGACACCTCTCCCGAGCCGATGAACACTCAGCCTTTTGGTTTTGCCGAAGACCGAGAAGCACGATTCGCAAACCGAACGAACTGGCTCCTTTCTCCACCTGTGTTGGAAAACGGATTTGGTGGAAAAAAGGGTTCGACCCGCTGGAATCAGATCGTTTGCATGGAAGCTGCGCAGGTGAGACATGTATGTCATGTGTATCTTGGGGAAACCGCGCACACGACATACACAATGAAAGATCCTCTGAACAAACCGACTGCGCCTCTGGTGTCTCTGGTATCTTCTTCAAGCATGCATACCTGTGCAGAATGTCTGCTTCCGATCTTACATCTCGAAATTCTCTGCAGAACCGTCAATGTCATTTCAAGGACTGGGATCGAAAACCATTGAAAACCCACCAGAATCAGGGAAGTTGGCATGAGTGGAATCAGAGCCAGCAAGGGCTTCCAAGCCTTGGGCCACGCTTGTCTAGTCTGAAAGCTTCAATGGGCGGCGAACCATCATCAAAATGGTGCAGTTGTCGAGTTGATGCCGCTCTCTCAGCCAAGGAACTCCTTGAAGGATGCCAAGATTGGTGATAGCTTCAAGGTTTCAGCTGGACATCGCTCATGCTCCAGAAGTTTCCTAGATGACCAGCAATCGTCTGCAAAGAGAAATCGACCCCGAAAACCTTTAGCCAACCAGTCCAACTTCTGCAGTGCTTCCTGGCTCCCCCCTTTAAACACATGGCCGTGGGTCAACCGACATCCCAAACCTGGTAGACCGGCGCCTTGACCTTCTGTTCATGTGTGGGAAAGACCAGGGGAGACCTGGTTTTGACCCACAGGCACATCTTGTCATAGACTAGACCTGCAAAGAGAAGTCCCAAGAGGAAACACCTGAGGATTTGGTTCTGTCCTAGAGCCAACCCGGCCTCTGAACTGGGTTATTCGAGGCGGCGCGCGCGAATGGAAGGGGGCACCCCACATCATCCAACATGCCAACCTCTTCCAAGTGCTTACACCCTCCCCTCAAAAAAACTGCTACCATTCATCCACGATTTCTCCACGTTCCAAGCTTCTCCAGATCTTCCACCATCACCTGCCAGGAGACCAAATCGACCACCAGGTGATGACACACCAGCAGAAGTCTCTGGGATCCGGCCTCCGACCTGCAGAAAACGCCACGCCACGCGGTCCGATGCGCCACGCGGTCCGACCAGTCAGACTGTGTCGACCGGAAAAGAGACCAGGACTTCGGGTGTCTCCCAGGACTAGAGATATACATCAAGGGTGTATACATAAAGGGTGTCTCCTGGATTGATTTCAAGCGACACCCCCATTGACGAATCCGATCCAAAGTCCAAATCGAACCTAAAGAAGCTCCCGAAACGCCCTCCTCATGCTTAGGCTATCCTCATTGCTGAACTTGAAACGGCTGGCACAATGTGTCTGAGTGCACAATGCTTCGGACTCAACATGCAAGAGTGAGGGCCTTGTAGTTTGCAGGGAAAGAAGAGCCCCCAACAGCAGCGGACCCTCCAATCGAACTTGCCCTTGGAGGTACTGACAAAAGTCATCCAGCTGCTCCAATCTGAGCGCAACGTGCCGGCGCGCAAATAAGGCTTAAGAATAGTTAAGAATACTGAATACATCTGAATACCGCAGTTGATTGGGGATGGACCAAGTCTACGGCTGAGACCGTCAAAGACTCCTTTGTGGCCAATGCTCCATGTCAGTCCAGTCATATCCCTGATCACATCACTTTCTCCATCTTGTTTTATCTTGTTTCTCTTCTTGCTTGGACCTACCAGCAGCGGAACAGGGGGTTCCGAAAAATGAAGGTTCAAGTCTCCCATGACTATCAGATCCCGGTCAGTCTCCCCATCCAACAGCTCGAGTCATCCAACCAAAAGCAGAGGTCTCCAAGTCATCCCGAACGGAGCGGAGCGGTGCTGCGGGGCCTTCGGAGATTCGGACGGAAAGAGATGCTGAAAGCCTGTAGGTTTCCATAGTCTATGTGGATGCCTGTTCGCTCCCTTGTTGGTCTTGGGGGAACCCCTGTAGTAAAAATCGCTATCTACTATATATATTATCATGTATTATATCAAGCAAAGCATCAAAATAGCCAAAGGGAGTGTGACTGAGGCAATCTCCCAAACACACTGAGTGATTGATCAGTCTTTGAAAAGCCAGGCTCTACACTTCGAGAGGAAGAAACTCTTTTTAAAGATGTTTATTGGTTTCTTCCTACCCGACCCGGTCTTTGGACTCGCATCTCTTGGTGGATCCACCGGTCGAATTCTTCCAAAAACAACACGGATGTCTGCCAAACGTGTCTGTCTGGCCTCACGTCGCCCACGTCCAGCACCTGCACCGAGGCTGGGGCCTCGCTGCGGGGACGCACGGACTGCACCGTGCCGTTGAAGCCTCGAGTGCACGGCGCGCGGCGTGCGCGGCATGCGCTCGTTATGTGTCACTGGTTCAGAGGATGAGCATGGCAGGAGATGTGGATTCTGTCAGAAGTCTGCTGAATCCCATGAAAAGGACGGCCAGCTGGTGCCGGCCGGTCCAAGAGCTGAAAAAGTTGCCCAGGAACTTGCACGGAGCATGTCGTGGCGCTCGGCCAGCCGCCACGCGCATCGTCGCACGGTTTCAACATCCAGGGGATGAGGAAACCTGGGCACCAGCATCAGAGATTGGTTGTAGTGATCCTTGGAGTTGCTCATCCGAGATTTCCTTTGGAACTTGGAAAACCAAACTTCAGAAGTCGTCAGACCCGGCTTTTGTTTGTTGGAAAACAGATGGCCTTTTCGAGGAGGGAACCTACCCAATCTTGCCATGTCTTCAATGGATTCACGACGCTTTGCTACAATACTAGCTATTCGGAGATCACTTGTCACAAAAGAACAACAAACATCTCTCCTCCAGCACAAGCCAAGTATCCGGATGAGACAACTGCAGATCGAAGAAGCGACGTTGCATCGGAGACAAGGGCACGTCTCCTGCAGCGTCTCGGGCACGTCTCGGGCGCGATGTGTCAAAGTGGATGGCGCACCCTGTTCGTAAAGGAACGACCGCCTTGCAAGGGACCATGCCATTCACTTCCGTTGGAGAGTACAGCTAGAATCTCGCTCTTGCCAAGATCTCTCCACACAGCGTCAACTCCTGGTCTTGACAGCCACGAACTCCCCCTCACATAGTCAAACCATCGCAGTCAACCACCGATAAGCCCCCCAAATTTGCAGTCAACCACCTGTCCTTCCTTATCTTCCTTCCAAATCCCGCGAATCTCCTTCCACACCTTCGGCCACTTCCAAGCACTTCGCGCTTCCGCTTGTCACCGCATCCATCTCCGACGCCAAATGCCAGACGGAGCTGGAGCCCATCATCCTGGAGGATGGACGGGCTTGGAGAACCGCTGTGACGGTTTGAAGCGTTTGGAGCACCGCTGGACGCGCTCATGGCGGTGGTGTTTGCTCTTTTGGTCTCCACCGTCATGAGCAATCTACAGATGCGAGCTTTTTGGAAGATCAATATTACACCCGAATAACAAAAAAACAAACACCTGGTAGGTTCAGGAAGATCATGCTGAAGCTGCAGCTTATGAAACACTCTTTAAAATAGATGGATGAATCTGTTGAACGTAAATCCAACATTTCACACCTTCCATGTCACTCCCACCCACTCCCACCCCACACTCACCCCTTCCACCTTCCCGGTGTCACGTAGATCTGCTGCTCCCGGAGCTTGGCCGAGAGCCGAATCGCCAACACCGAGTCCCCCCCGAGGCGCAGGAAGCTCTGCTGAAGCTCCGCGGCACGCAGATCCTGAAGCTCCGCGGCACGCGGCACGCCACGTGCCACGTGGGCCGCAGGAGACGCGGCAGAAGTTCAAATGCTTCAAGTTGGAGGCTGAAATGGGGGGCTGGAGTTCGAAGGCGGACACGTCAGACCTGTGGTCTAGGTCCGACCGGTGGTGGTGAAAGTCAAGGCCCTACTGACAGTAGGGCTTTGAAAAGAGACTCTTCACGAGGAATTGAAGGCGAAGAAGTCCGATTTTGGAGATTCATTCCACCGGATTCCACACCCCCAAAAATCATCTTCATGAAAGGGATTTGGTGATATTTGGCGTTCTTTGTTTGAATGCATTTAGTCTGCTCGGTCTTATTATAAGGGCTTCGTGATCGGCATCGGCAAACGGCAAAGTGTTTCGTTTCCATGTCGGAGACATGGACCAGTTGTACATCCCTTGCGTTTCCACTCCGGCATCAATGGCAATTTGCAGACACATGGAACCTTCTTTTCAACCATGGATCTTATAGTAGTAATCTCTGTATTCTTTTCAATTTCTTCTCCCAAGGTCTAATCACATCACATCATGCTTCTGGCATCCCTCCCCCTTGCCACAGTCGAAGCCCGCGTGTCCCAAAACGGTCACCTGCGATCCCGTCACCTGCGGCCGTTGTCTTGCGTCTTCTAGCGCGCCTTCCGCAAGAGCTGTCCCAAGAGATCCAGGAAGCATCGCCCCTTCTCCGAGAAGTCCTGTGTCTCCGCACGCCCCTCCTGTGGCGTCGGGGTCGTCGGTATACCCTTTCTGTCTCCTCTCGGACAATCCTCTTCGACGGCCGAAGGAATGGAAGCGCTGGAAGAGTTTTCGTTCGTGGCACAACACCGTGACACCGCGTGCCTCGATCGATCTTGATTCGATCGAACAGGTGGTGGAGTAAGTTCACACCCTGCTGGATTTAACTCGGCCATTCGTTAAAGAAAACATAGGAGGCTTCCTCAAAAGAGAATAATTTTAGGCATCCAAAGTTCAAGCAACATGAAGCAACCACCAACTACGAGTACCTTCCAAAAGAACTCAAATACATTCAAATACAATATGATTCAGCGATTCAGCGACCAGGTGTTTCATGGTTTTTTCATGTCTTTTCTCTTTTCCGGGTCCTTGGCCAGCAACTCCTTCGCCTCCTGCGCCAAGCGCTGTCGGTCCAACTTCCCCGTGGGACTCCGCGGCCACGCTGTGATGGGTACCACGTGCCGCGGCCGCAGCGGCGCTGGAAGCGCGTGCAGCGAGGGCGGAGCCAACCACTCCTGCGAGTGCACGGTGTGTGGATGATTGGCACTTGGAGGCCATCGCTAGTATAGGTCGGAGGCCATCGCTAGTATAGGTTGGAGGCCATCGCTCTTAGGTTGAAGGCCATTGCTACAGGCTGTGATCTCACTTCCAAACACCCTCCGCATGCCCGGCTCACTTCGCGTCCTCCGAGCGGCTCACGAAGGCCACCAGCACCGGCTCCTCCGGCTCGACACCACCCGGCGCGGCCAACAGCACGGCCGCCTCCGCCACACCTGCCAGGTGGTTCTGCCACGGTGGAGGTGTTTCGGGCAGTGTTCGGGCAGTGTTCAAGCAGCCTACACGGTCGATCTTTCACCTCGTAACATGGACCTTTCGATTTGGGACATGGACCTGGATGGCAGCAGACTCTGCCTTTTTGGAATCAGGCGTCGAGTCCGATCCTCGTTCTCGTCCATCCCTCGCCGAGTCCATCCCTCCGCACACTTTTGGGCGCCTGGGCACGTCTTCAGTGCAGATTCGATTTCTTCCAGTTCGATCCTGTGGCCGTGCACTTTCACCTACAGGGTGATCGTGAATTTCCCCGCGATCGAGGTACGAAGGATGAGCCAACTTCCTATAGATGAACTATAGGTGATGACACACAAAACGACTGTTCTTCCAAGTGAAAGCGTTCCTACATATTCCTTGAACTCCCTGCCTGTGAGTCTCGTCTTCCTAGGAACTCCAAGCCCTCCTTCCCCCATCGCACCAAATCTCCCGTCTTGTAGTGCTTTCCTGCACCACACTGCGCATCCATGAAGACCTCAGCCTGCTCGACCTGCAGATAGCCCAGCGCCAGCCCTGGTCCTGCCACCTTCAACATCCCCACGCTACCCAACACCACCAGCCCATCGTCCTCTCCACCCTCGCCCTCCAGGTGCACTGCACGGTAGGCATCCGGCCACCCGATGCACCGATGCACGCGCGTACCGCCGGTACCGTCCATACCGCCCGGACCGGCCGTGAACTCTGCGGTCGTGGTGTCCACGGCAGCTTCCGTTGGGCCGTAGGTGACGAAGAGTCGGCTCGAGTCGAAGCGCGAAGCGGTCCGCTCCAAGAGCCTCCAACGAGTCCGCGAACGTGTGAGGTTCAAAGGCACGTGTTTCTAATAGCTTTTCGTTACTACTAGTAATTAAGGCACTTGTTACTACTAGCGTGGCACTTGTTCCTAGTAGCTTCTTTGCCCCGAGTATATACTGTAGTTTGTACAACGACCCGTCGTCAATCCATACATTCTCCATACTGACTCTATAGTAGTTTCAACGAAGCGTTGATGACTTCTGCCACATTCAATTCTCGAACTTTCTAGATGCCTGCGATCAGGTTGAATGACCCCTCTCCCAAACCAAGTCACACACCATTCTTTCTTCAAGAAAATATCACCTCTCGATCCGGCACCTCTGGTTCACTGCTTCACCCCCCAAATTGATCCGCCGCAGCGCGCCGAAGCAAAGCTTGGGATCGGCTTGGTCCTTCACAAAGGGAGACATATCATGAATACAAAATGTTAAATGGCTTGAAGATGCTTTTGAAGAACAGTGTGAAGAAAAGGTTTCACTATGTTTCACTACTGGATTTGCTTCGAAATGGTGGGTCTCAGATTCAAAGCCTTTCGACGTGACGTTCTCTTTACATCTGAAATTGGCCTTTGACAGGCTGCATGTGCAGGGTACTCGAACAGCGATGATCCCAGCAACAGCAGTAGCAAATCCAGGTACGTCAACCATGTAGGACCCCAAAGGATCTGTTGCGTTGAGCTTTCGAGTCAAAACACGAACCTCTTTAGTGAACCAAGCACGTCAAGGGATACACCTGGTGTGTCTGCGGAGCGAAAAAAAAGGCTCCGATCACTGGGTCAATGTTGACGCATGTTGACGCATTCAAAGTGTCCAGAAGCAAGAAGGATCAAGAAGGATGAAGGATCAAGAAGGATCGAATGACCCTGCGCCTACGGCTGTGAGCCCTGCAACTTGAAGGATGACCGTCCGAGCCGAGCCCTCAGCGCTTGGCCCCGGTGCCACGGGCCGTACGGACCGTCCCGTCCAAGAACAAGGAGAAGAGAGTCGGGACCATGTCAATGTTGGTCACCTGAGCCTGGAAGCATCGCCTCTAACGAGAAACATCGCTGTTTCAGGATGAACACGCTGCTTCTGTCGATAGTGCCCGCATTTAAAAGAGCCCTCAAAGATCCTCAAAGACTCTTAGTGACAAAAAGAGTTGCAAACCAACATCTGAAGAAGCAGCCAAGAACCACCAATACCTTCTTATTCAGTCATCTTCCAAATAACGGGTGTCCTTGCTTACAGCATCTCTTACAGCTTTTGGTCGGGTGTTCCGAGAACCCCAAGAAGTCTGGAATAAGTCTCCCTGTGCTGCGCCTGTGCTGCGAGGATGGCCAAGGCTCCTGGGTCTTTGGAATCCATCTCCTTGGGCATCAAAAGCGAACCTCCCAGCACCAAGTAGGGATAAAGCCTCAGCTGAACAGGTGCGAAGACGCTGAAGATGCACACGACTTCGATGGTCGATGGTACTCGATATCTGTTGTGTCCTGTTCTAGCTTGTGCGGCAGAACAGACCTCCAAAGCCGCCGCAGCCGGGGAAAAAGAACTCTCAAACTGAACCATCTGCCCTGCGCTCGATCGTCACCTATCCCATGCACTTCTGACCGATCCGCTCTCCAAAAGAAGAAACGCTTACCTCGCATGCGACGGCTTGGGATGTCCATACGACGGCTTGGCTGCTGAGCTGGGCACTGGCTTACGGCGAAGTCAAAGGGCAAGGCCTGATCTGCAGGATGAACGAGACACAGATTTGGTCGACCATGGGCACCACAAGAAATCTAAAATCCAACACTGTAATGAGTTTGCGAAGGCTTAAACCAAAGCCACTTGGACTATAGCTATATATGGACACATAGAAACCACTAGAAACCTACTCTTCGGAGGTGTGAGATCTAATTACTCAAGAAGAGTGGACCTGCTTTTACCTCGCCAGTGTGGGTAGTGTTTGTAACCGGCAGCCTGGTCCTTTCATTTGCAGGTATTCACAGCTTCAAGCCAGCTTGCGCTTGCGCAAACATGGCCAGCGGGACAAAGTTCCCAAGGGTTTGCACACCAGATTACCATGTCTCACCTTACCATCAGTCACAAAGGGATGTGCAACTTGTGAACCCAGCTTCAGGTCTTGCTTGAGCCTTTGTTTCATGTTCCGCTGCCCATTTAGGAAGGGGCCCCTTTTTCACGCCTCAGCCTGACGCACATGGCTGGCTTCTGAGCGTACGCGCTCTTGGAAAAGACCGCGGTCCTGGTGAGGACCTACTTGTTGAGAGACAGCCCCATACGCTTCCCTGCTCGCTCCTGCTACATTGGTAGCGGAGCAAAAGCTCCTGGACCTTTTTCGACTTGAAGATCATCGCTTTTGTCTTCTTTGGCGGTGTCTTCACGCAGCGGTGTTCCTTGACTTTGCTGGTGGTCTACCGACATCCTCGCTCTGGACCTCCGGTGTCTTGGCACTGCTGAGCTCTTTCTCCTGGCCTTTGAAGAAGGCGACCCTTTTGCCTTGACCTGGCAAGCTTTGGATCTTGCCGGATCTTTTTCCTGGACTTTATCTTCGGCACCTTCCTGGTGGCATGGCGGAACTGAGGGACGGATCAGTCCCCACATGGGATGGACAGGCTCGTGGCTGGAGGCGCTACACGAAAGAAGTGGCATGGTTTGTGTCATCAACACCTGTGCACAAGAGACGCTATGTTGCTTCTCGCCTCATCAGCCGGCTGCAAGGACCTGCACGCCTCTTGGCTATGTCATGGAACCGTGGCGAGTTCGACGCACCGGATGGAACCTTGACCTTGCTCCGGAAGCTCGCAGGTTCGCCGCTCGTGCGGCGCACCCTACCAAACACGGCCGCGATCCTTCAGCAGTACCTGAGCTTTAGGCGACGGCCCAACGAAAGCATGGCTAACTTCCCCGTCCGCGAAACGTTAGGCTATGAGGAATTCTCTGAGGCCTTGACGCGGCTATGGGAGGAAAAGAATGGCATCGACCAGAACGAGCTCGACTTCGGCCTCCCACCGGTTGAAGACCAATGGGACTGGTGGTATGATGATGATGGCAACGAAGTTGACTCTCCTGATGGCGATATGCCTCATGATGCCCAACCTAGCGATGACGACCCAGCTCCAACGACTACCACTACTAGTGCCTCGGCTGCAGCAGGTGGCAACTCCGGCGCAGCTCCTGCCGCTGAGCGTGCAAGCGCTGGCTCCTCACCGAGCCGTGGTGGCCTGAGCGCTGGGCCTCCTTCACTTCGCGCAGTGTCGGTGCAAGCACCTTCTGTGGCCATGAACGAGCTCTCTCCGACGGATAGCTTCATCATGGGAGTTCTTCGTGGCTGGAGACTTCTCCAAGCCGCATGCTTGAACGCTGAGGAGACTCGTGACATCCTCAGCACGACTCAGAACAAGTTGGAGTTTGAGGCCATCTCACAGGCTCTTCAGACCCTGTGGGACGAACAACTACTTGGTCAACGTCATCACCTCTCTTCGTTCCCTGGCCGTGACCATGGATGGCTATGTGAACTGGCAGTCTTGGGAGGATGATCCTCATGACGCCTGGGATGGTGATGGCTGGTGGCCTGATGGGGGTGATCAACAATGGCATGAACAATGGCCTGAAGATGATTGGGGCGAATGGCATGAAGAACCTCATGGCGAATCCACCCTTGCAGCAGTGGAAGAAGAGGATGACCAGTTGAAGGAAGCACAACAAGCAGAACAAGCAGCAGAACAGTTGGCGATGGAAGCAAAACGAACATGGGTTGAAGCACAGCGCACGACGCAACAAATGCGCAAGGACAGAGGTTTTGGTCAAGCTGGCCAAGGCCCAAAGTGTTTTCAGTGTGGTGGGCCCCACTTTGTTCGAGATTGCCCTGACCGACGGCATCCACCCTACTCCATCGGCAAGGGCAAGGGTAAGTCTTCCTACATGGCCGACTACTCGGACCAGCAGCTCTTCTTCATGAAGGGGAAGGGCAAAAAGGGAAAGGGGAAATCAAAACACGCCTCCATGGTTTCCCATGATAGTTTTGGACCTCCAAGTCAAAGGGAAAACAACGTGGCAAGATGATACCTCCTTCTCGTCCAGCAGTGAATGCCTACACCATGCACTATGACCTTGGAGGACTTGAGCTATATGAGGACATGAACAACTTGTCCGCCACGATGCCAGAGGCATCGGCAGCATCCACAGGAATGTTGGACTGCGGTGCAACAGCTTCTGCAGCTCCGGATGTGGCCGTCCGTGGACTCATCCAATCGATCCTTTCTCACGACAAGAACGCCCGCATTGACGTGCAGCCATACATGCGGCCCTTTTTCAGGTTTGGGAATGGAAGATGGGGGCAGGCACTATATCGTGTCACAATTGGTTCGAGGGCCTCTGGTGAACTTCGTCAGTTTTCGCTGTTTTCACTCCCCAACCCTGAAGAGATGAACCCCAAGAATGTCGTCCCCGTTTTGATCGGCATGGATCATATTGGTGCACATGGTTGTCAGATGTTGGTTGATTTTGCTAGTGGCTATGTCATTGACGGTGTCGACCCCAATCCCGAGATCTATCAACTGAACACCAATTCCAAGGGTCACTTTGTCTATGACATCATTCACCACCTCACCAAGGGTCACACCAACACCAAGGGTACGGCAGTTGTGCACATTTGTGAACAACATGAACAACAAGATCTTGCTTGTGGAGTTTTGCAATTTCGCCCTCTTGAGTTTTACAATGCACATGTTTCAATGGCAAGTCACGTGAACGAAGCCGATCGTCGATCTCTTCTTTGGAAGCTCTATCAGCATGTGAAGTCTTCATCCACTTCTGCAGCTTCTCTGGCTCACATGAGCTCATCGGCTACAAGCCCGACTTCCCCGGACGACATCTCCTTTCGTGCTCACCTGCAAGGCCACGTCGCGAAGCCCAATGGAGCATCAGACGACTCAGGCCGAGCAGGATATGGTGGACTTCATCAAGAACCTCAAGCCGCCAGCGGCCAAGAAGCCCTCGCAACCTCCGGACACCTCTCGAGCGATCCAGATGGATCCTCGCGATCCGAGGGCTCAAAATTGCTGGCCTTGCTACAACCGACACGTCCAAGGAACGTGGCAGAGCAACATGCACGGAACCTGGTCGCACTGCGAGATTTGCAACTTGCGCTTGGCCTATATCCCAAAGAAGGGCGCTCCAAGCAACTCGACTCAGGCACTCAACCACGTGATGATCAAGCGCATGTTGACCGAGCTGGAACCGCTGATGCAGGGCACTCGCCCAACAGCTCGAATCTGCAAGGCAATGATGGACAAGATCACCGCAGACACTCAGCTGGAGACCTTGGTGCAGCAGGCGATCAGCACGCCTGTGAAGAAGACAGCGGTGAAATCCAGAAGTGCTCCAAATCAGCATCCGTCATCCCCTGTGAAACAGGAGCCCACGGGCTACCAGACACCTCCGGCAATTCAGTCGCCGCCCGCTCCGTCCAGTTCAGCAAGCTGGGAACTTCTGCAGACGGATGCCAACGACCTGCAGAATCTCCTGACCGACCACGAGAAGGCTCAGCTCATGAAGATTCTTCGAGACCGCCGACAGGAACAGGAAGAACTGCCAGCGGCCTACGAGGACGAGAGTGGTCAGCAGCAGTGATGGATGATGGTGCATCATCTCAACAGAGCTCTACGGCCTCTGTGCACTATGTTCAACCTTCCTCATTGAAGAGCGCTTCAAAGACTTCCAAGACTATGACATCAGCGAGCTCTACTACCAAACCTTTGCCAAATCGTGTGGCTCACAAGGTTATGCACATGGTGAACCTCATGACGGCTTCGCTGATGACGGTGGCTCTTCAGATCAATCTGGAAGGACGCATGGGCATGTGGGAAATTGCATGCTCTGAGAACAGCTGGCTCACCTCGGCAGCCAATGACCATGGCATCAACAGCCGGCGCATCAACTACGCCCAGGGCTATGACATCTACCGTGATGAAACCTGGGAACGACTCAAACAAGAGCGTCGACAAGATCGACCTCGTAAGCTCTGGTTCTCGCTTCCTTGCACTCGCTGGTGCCAGTGGACTCAGGTGAACTACAACACCCCCGAGAAGAAGGAAGTTCTGGAATCTATGAGGCGTCGTGAACGCCGCATGCTTCGGAAGGCCAAGGACTTCATCTTGGACTCCCTCGATGATGACCCCAACATCAACATCTACTTTGAATGGACCTTCCCGTGCAGTGGATGGAGCCAAAAGCCCATGGTTGAACTTGAAGCTGAACTACACCATCGTGGCATTCCCTGGGAGCAATGCCGCATGGATGGGTGCAACTATGGCATGATGGACAAGAATGAAACTGGCTACCTCCACAAACGGTGGGTGATCAAGACCACCGATGAGCTCTTTTGGAAGAATTTCCGGGCAAAGGTTTGCCCCAAGAATCACAAGCACGTCCTCATCCAAGGACTTGAGACTTCCAGATCTGCATACTATCCCAAGCGAAGCGGATGGTCGAATCCATTGTGAGGCACTGGAAACGTCAACTTGCTCCTCTCCGACATCTACGTCAGTTGACCTCTCACTCCAGTGAACTTCAAGAAGGTGAAGACGAGAACTGGCAACGTCGTCTTCTACCTCAAGGTTTCCAAGATCGTCTATGGCATGATCCTGGCACTCAAAATGCACTACCTGCTGAAGAATCACATGATGATCCTGAACCAACAGGTGATGTGGTCGCAGCAGCTCCGAACGTCTTTGATGGCATCACACCTCAAGAACAAGAAGCCTGGCAAGCCAAACTCAAGCACTATCATCGAGCCGCAGGACACCCGACCAACAAGAATCTCATCCACCTCTTCAAGGACGCTGGACTCCCGGCCTGGAAACTGGCCATGGCACGAGATCTCAAGTGCTCAGCATGCGCCAGCATCAAACCCGGTGGCTCTTCTTCTGGACTGGTGCCCCCGGCAGCAACCTCTCTGGCCTATCGACCATGGGAGGCAGTGGGTGTGGACTCTTCAGAGTGGCTAGTGCCACACCAGAAACTGAAGCTGAAATTCATCGTCTTCATTGACCTGGCGACTCGCCTTCGTGTGATCCACATCGTGAAGGTCTACGGCTTCCTTGAGATGCAAGGTGAAAGCTCGGCTGACTTCATCCAAGGCCTCGCTGAGAAATGGCTGAGTGACAAACCCAAGCCTCGCATCCTCATTCCGGACAATGCGACAGCCTTCAAAAGCCGAGAAGTACATGACTTCTGCAATCAAGTTGGCATCCAGTTGACCTTCCCTGCCGAGAAGGAATCATGGGCGCATGGCATTGTCGAGTCCGCGATCAAAGACATCAAGATGACAGCATCGGCCATCCAGATAGATCAACCCTCTCTGGATCCAAAGGTCACTCTCATGCTTTCAGCTGCAGCTCTGAACTCCACCGAGTACACCAAGGGCTACAGCTCCTATCAATGGTGCTATGGCAAGGACTACACCTTGGAGGATGAAGACATTCGCACCTTCCACGATCCTCTACAAGATGGCAACAGCATGTCCTATGAAGCTCTGGTCAGAGCTAGACAAGATGCTGAAGCTATTGCTCGCAAAACACGAGCACTACGTGTGATGAGCCGATTGAAGAACAGCACTGTTCGACAACCTCTTCGAACCTTTCACCCAACACAGCTGGTCAAGGTGTGGCGACGTGAATGGCCCGCTCATCTCCATCAAGGCAAGCGTGGTGGAGGCAGAAAGGCCGTAAAACCACACTGGATTGGACCTGGCAGAGTGATCTTCCATGAAGTTCTACCTCATCAAGATTCTGAGGATGAACGACGACACATCGTCTGGGTGCTGATTGGAACTCAGCTGATGAGGTGCAGTGTCCACTCCGTTCGACCAGTCACCACGACTGAACAGATGGCTTATGAGATTGCCAACAAGGACGACCCAACTCAGTGGCGTTCGATTGCCGACCTTCTCCCTCAGCGAGACTTCACAGATCTCACCGACCAAGTCCCGGGAGAACATGAACAAGAAGAACCTGATCTACCAAATCAACCCGATCCTGATCAAGCTCTTGTACCTCTTCGAAGAGCTGGCTTCAAGCAGCGTGTCCCTCCTTCTGGCATGGTTCCGGCAGCAGTTCGCCGCCGACTACAAGAACTGGAAGACACGGGAGAATATGAACCTTCCATACCGGATGAACAGGCACCTCCTGATCCCTCCATTGAGGTTGTGAATGACTACGGCACTGGCAGTGCACCCTCCACTGGACCTCCAGTCCCAACAGCTCCAGCAGAGGAACCTTCGTCAATCGTGCCGCCTGATGAGAAGCGGAGGAAGACGGACCATGACGATTCCGATCTCTTCAACGCGTCTTCCAGGCAACTGCCCAACTACAGTGATGTTAATTGGCTCAACAATATGGTCGTTGAGGAAGATCAAAGTTGGGAGTGTTTCGAAACCATTTTGGACGACAATCCCGATGTGATGACCATGGAATTTGAGCTCAACTTCACCTCCAACAGGCAGCAAAAGATGTTCCTTCGCAACCCAACCGCATTCCTGGTCAAGAAGATGAGAGACTCTGAGGTGATCTTCGGCAAGCTCTCTGCTGAACATCGTGCTCTCTTCATTCGGGCAAAGACTAAGGAAGTCAACAGCTTCATCCAGAACCAAGCAGTCCGCAAGAGCCTGAATGATGCGGAGACCAAGACCGCCCTCAGCTCTGGCAGAATTCTCCGAGCCAGATGGGTTCTGACTTGGAAGCTGATTCCTCCTGAAGATCGCGCAGCCGCTCGCCAAGATGGAATGTCTAATCCATCAACTGTGCACACCAAGGAGGGTGACAGAAAGGCCAAGGCCCGCATCGTGCTCCTGGGCTACGAGCATCCTGAACTTGGTTCCACCTCCTACAGAACAAGTTCACCTGTGCAGTCGGTCATTGCCAGAAACCTTCTGTACCAGATCACATGCCAACATGGCTGGAAGTTGGAAGGTCTGGATCTGGCAACCGCCTTTCTTCAAACACGGCCAACCTCGGCTGATGAAGAGATGTGGACCAGTGGCGTTGCTGAGCTTCGTGAAGCTCTACAAGTTGGGCCTGAAGGCATCATGAAGATCCTCAAGAACATCTACGGCAGCACCACGGCGCCGAGAGGCCTATGGCTCGACCTGCATCGCACCCTATGTTCACTTGGTGGCCGACCGGCCATGGGAGAAAGGTGCTTGTGGCTATGGGCAAGCTCAACAGAAAAAGATGCAGCCGGTCATCCCAAGATCATCGGCATGATGGGCGGACACGTAGACGACTTTCACCGAATTGGTGACCCATCCAGCTCAGAGTGGTCCTCCATATGCGCCCGCATCGACAAGGCGTACCAGTGGGGATCAGCAAAATGCAATGAGTATCGCCATGCAGGCACTGATGTGAAGGTCACCCTAGACAACGATGGTGACCAGGTGATCACTGTGAACCAGCAGTACTACATCGACATGCTCACCGATGTTGAGATTCCTGTTGAACGCCTGCGTGATGAAGCCACACCACTGTCCAAACAGGACCTTGCAGCTTGCAGGGCAAGCTTAGGTGCGCTGCAGTGGCTTGCTGTGCAGACGCAACCACTTCTATGTGGCCGGTGCAACATACTGCTCAGCGAATTGGTGAAGAATGGCACAATGGCCCATGCCGTGGAGATTCAAAAGATGATTGGTGAAGTCCGGCAGTCTCCCAGTGACCTCAAGTTCTTCAAGCTGAAGAAGGCCAAGACCTGGCGTGACGTCTGCATCATTACTTTTGCAGACCAAGCCCACGTGAACAGGCCTGGTGGCGACTCCACGGGAGGCATCATCACGATGCTCGCTGGCCCTGAGGCCAAATCTGGACAGGTGTGCCCCATGGTTCTCCTTCAGTGGAGGGCCTGGAAGCTGAAGCGCAAAGCAATTGGTTCCAATGACGCAGAAGTGCAGGCGGTGCTTGAGGGCGAGGACGCCAACTTCCGCGTCAAGTTGCTGTGGAGTGAACTTCACGGAGCCGGATGGGACCGTCCGGTCCATGCTGACCAAGTGTCGTGGGCAGAGCAGCAAGCTCGCGACATACCTGGAATCTTGTGCACAGACTCCAGAGGTGGCTACGATGCTGTGCAGGTGAATGAGAGTCCTCTTTTGGGACTCAGCAACCTTCGAAGTGCCCTACAAGCCATGCAATTGCGTGAGAGCATGATGCGAGTCGGCACCTCCTTGAGATGGCTTGCCAGTGATTACGACTTGGCCGACAGCATGACAAAGAAACGACCTGATTGCAGGACAGGTCTCACAAAGTACCTGTCCAAGCGCTTGTGGTGCATAGCATTCGACCCCTCCTTCACCGCTGCAAAGAAGAATGCCAAGAGTGGCCGCACCGCTGTGAGAGCCATAGATGAAGCAGCAAGACCTGATCTTTCCTTTTAGGCTGGTGCAACTTGTGAACCCAGCTTCAGGTCTTGCTTGAGCCTTTGTTTCATGTTCCGCTGCCCATTTAGGAAGGGGCCCCTTTTTCACGCCTCAGCCTGACGCACATGGCTGGCTTCTGAGCGTACGCGCTCTTGGAAAAGACCGCGGTCCTGGTGAGGACCTACTTGTTGAGAGACAGCCCCATACGCTTCCCTGCTCGCTCCTGCTACAGGATGCCTATTGGAGGATAGGGTGCCCATTCTCCACTCACTTGGGGACTAAAAACCATCCCTTTATATATATAACTCATTCTTGATCCTGCTTGTTTTCATGGGTCGAACAGTCGAACGATGCTTTTCACCATGTTCGTGCAGTCTCAGTCGACCGAGGGGCAATGGATTGCAAGACCGAGTCCATGGCCGTGAGGTGAAACTTCGCACAGCAGGAGAGCACATGGCTCAGCACCGCGCTGTGCGACACAGACACTCCTCGAAGGGGTCAGCAGCTGGGTCAGCAGCTAGGTGCTAACTTTACACTGGAGGAACACTTTAGAAATAGATCCAAAAGCATCGGACATATCTACCCACCTGTTCTACCTGCAATACTATATGCAATGGATTGTAATGGTAGATCAAATCTGAGTCCGACACAGTCCGACTGCATTGGATGACCAGGTTTGATGGAATGCTGTGGTGGAAGTGTTGTTTTTCGCCCTTTTGTTGGTACTTCCACCCATTCTCTATGTGGGAGCTATTGAAGGGTTGCTAGCAGAACGGAAGCATACAAGTATGCCACTTCTTGGTGACCAACATTCCGACTTCCGACTCCCCCCGAACGCCCCGCGGTGGCGTCGCCGACCCGCGACGTCGCGGTCGTCCGTCCGTTGTTCATCGCGGTCCTTTGGGACGTCCCGTGGTGCCCGAGGTGAAAAGCACGTACATCTCGCGGTGCCCCACGTGGGCGGAACGGGCGTTCGGCCTCGTCGCGCGGCCACGCGGGCTGTTGTGCGGGCGTTCAGGGGATGTTTCATGGGGAGCGTTTCGTGGAGACGACGTGGGACGTGGGACAATTTGGAGTGGGGTTCTGAATTGGAGTGGAGTGAACCGGTGTTTAAGTACTGTGAAAGCCACTTGGAGCTTGTAGACAGGTGGAGGATGACCGTTTCTTTTGCCTGTTAGTCCATGTGGAAGGAGGGAAGTGGGTTCGCTTCGCAGTCAGCACTGATGAATTTTCGGCAGGTCTAAAGCGAAAACACAGACTTCACAACGTTCGCAGGTCTTCTTCACTCTTCGACAGCCTGTCTTTGACGCTAATCCCAGCCATTCCCAGCCTAAATGGACTAGTCTTCAGCTCGGATTTCGGTCCCTCAAAGACCTGACGGTCTAAAAGGGGGCAAAGGGGCAACGGCAAAAGTGGATATTCGGTACAGTATCAATATGGTGAGAAATGTCCGAATCAAACGCAACTCACGAGCTCGTGCGGTTGCTTGCCACTCTTCAGACATGCCAAGCACACGACCCTCTTCGCAGCTTCTGTAGACTGACTTCTGGTTCCATCAGCATTAAAAAAAACAGCGGTGTCAAAGGTTGGGCGATGTCTCAGTCCTATCCCAGACTACAAACAGTGCTCCCCACAGTTTCCGTATCAAATCACCTTTGGAGGATCAACCACCATCAAAACCACCAACCCTGCAAGCCTCTGCCTCTGATAGCATCAGCCTAGGGATGTGGCCTCAGTGTCCGAAAACACACTTGTCACTGTCCTCCAAACTCCGTCCATGGCGATGTGCATCTCAAAAAAAGGATCCTTACTAATTACTAGTAACAAGAAGCTACTAGGGGCTCCTGGCATCGCTACTAGGAGCAAGGACGCTACTAGGGGCCTTACTAGAGCAAGAAGCTAGGAACAAACTTCTCAAAGAAAGGATCCACTTTTGGAAGGTGTGCGACCTTGGAACTTGTGTCTCCTAGCTCCAAGGAGATCGCTATTAGGTTGGATGCCATCGGTAGTAGCTTGGAGGTCATCGCTAGGAGGTTGGAGGCACTCACTATTTGGTTGGAGGCCATCGGTAGTAGCTTGGAGGCCATCGGTAGTAGCTCTTCAGTAACTTGTATCTCCTACTAGTTCCTCCTAGGTCGCTTCAGCATACTATATTTTTTTCCGCGCGCCAACAGGCTGTGGAGAAACTCCAGACTCCAGACGGCGAGGGGCTCAAGTGGTTCGAGTGGCTGCGCCTTTCTTCCGCGCTTGTCACCAGGATCTTGACCTCCGCATCCCACACCATCGAGCGAAGACGCTCTTCTGGCAGATCCTTGGCACCGTGCCGAAGATTTGAGAATCTCCACCCTCCCAAGTTGGAGGATTTTTGCTTGAAACAATGCCAAAAATGTTGCTGTTGGGTAGATCAAGTGGCACATTTTTCGGGATGATGGGACCATATTGGGTGAAGGGACCGCCTCCAGTTCCTGAACAAATGGAAGGTCCTGAAATGGAACCATTGCATGAACGCTTTGGAATGAAATTTCAAAAATACCGGTCGTTTGGAAGCTCCGCAGACAAACAAAGCTCCGTCAAGCAGCCCCAGGCAAGGGTACGTAGGCAGACTCCGCCAAGAGGATGCCCAACAAACTCGGAAGCAGCAACGGCCCCTGCGCGCACGCCCAAAGGTCGATGTTGTCCGACAAAGAAATTCGGAAAAAAATTGAACCTATGGCCTACAAACCTAGTTCGACTATAATTGTCCTAAGTGAAGTAAAGGGAATTCCCGATATCAGGCTTTAGTCTTTGACTCGCATCAATGTGCCATGTGAAAAGTGGGTTAGACAGACACGATATCGCCGGACAGGAAACAAAGAAAGTGAAACACAAGGTTAAACACCACACCGTTGAGCGGGCGCCAGCTTCTTTTCCGTGTTCAATAAACGAAGGTCCTTTCACTGTACTCCAAGTCTTTGGGCGAAGGTTCGCAGACCTTTCATACTCCATACTTGAACAGCAGTGTTGTATCACAACACTGGGTTTCAGCGTTGGTTGGAAAACACACAGACTAGCTGGTATTAAGTCATCTTCGATGAGCTTACCTGATCACTCACTGTCACAACTTCACCCACTGTTCAATAAGGAGACAAAAGGCTGGAGATCTTCAGGCTTAGCCACAAACGGTCAGAAGGGAAAGGGGCCTCGTAAAAGATCCACCCCTGGGCTTGGGCCCACTGATCTTCAAGACCCAGGCTGGACAAACCATCCGAGGGGTTACTCGCAGAGTCAACCCATTCAATCCAAGCACGAGTTTTGCAATGCTCAAAAATCAAAAACCAAATGTGATCAGTGATCAGTGATAACTGTGCAATGGTGTGAACGTCACACTGACTACTGGAACCGCGATTCAGGGAAGCAACCGCAGGTCCACTATCGGCAAACCACAGGACATCACGCCCCTAAAGGAGCTGGTGATGGAGCCAGGGTACCATGCGCGGGCAACGACCAACAGGCGGTTGGCAACTGGGTCGAGCTGCTCCGGATGCCCAGTCCTGCGTCTAAACAATGAGCGCTTCATTCCAGCCAGGTGACACGAGCCCACCTGAAGCGGTTCACGAGCTGCTCCGGAACCGGAACCCGAGGATGCAGTCTCTGTCACCTCGTCTACGACATCAGTTTCGGCCACCGACGTCTCGAGAGGGTGCATTGTCCAATGATGAGGTTGCTGAGTCCCTTGAGTTTATGTCGTGCGAGGGCTGGCGCCGCGATTCTCCGTTCGCACAAAATGTAGCGGCTGATGGTGAAGGCTTCTCCTCAGTGAACCAGAATGACACGGAGGACCTTCTGCCAGAAATGATTCTTAAGGTTTTGTGGGGTTACGAACCGTGAAGCCAAAGCGGGTGGCGTAGTCACATAATCCGGCCGGATGGTGGGCCGGCGACAGGCCCAACAGCAGGTCCAAGAGCGCCTGCTTCTTTGCTGCCTTGGCAGCCATCTCCTCAACGTAGGAGTCCTTGGCCGCGAGCCTTGTCATCAAGGGGGCTCACAGCGTTCCCCAGTCTCCAACAGCCGGCGCACAGGTCGAGCGGCGGGGTGATGGTCAGTGGATGGCATAGATTTATAATTTAGATATATATATATATATTATATATATATATAGATTGCCTGTGGATGCAAGCCTCCCGGCGGTTGTGGCGCTGAGATGCCGCTCGTTGAGAGGCGCGCCCGTGAGGTGGCCATGAGCAAGTCCCCCGGTAGCCCAAATCGCCTGGACATCCTCGCATGTTTGCCCCCAGCATAGCCAGACGATCGAGGAGGATCACCGGGCGGTCCGCCAGGAGCTTGCGGCATGCCCGGCAAGCCAAGCGATGCCAGCTCCCGAACAGCAGTCGCAGATCAACTCCTCGGAATCGCACGAAAGCCAAGGGACGCCCCTGGTAGCACCCCTCGCACCAGCTCGTAGCCCACAGGCCGCAACAGCGGCAGAAGTCGGGCTGTACGTCGGGGAATCTGGGCACCCCGGCCCCATAAACGTACGCCGAGCGTGCCGCCACACAGCCTCGCGCGTTCCTCCACCGCCCCCAATCTCCACGAAGCAAATTCCGAGGTGAAGATGGGGGGCATGGCAGAGAGGAGAAGAAGAAGGAGGAGAAGAAGGGGATCGAAACTTGAGCCAAAATGGCATCAAGATTTGGGGATCAACATTTTATGTTTCAAGTCTCAATGTCCCTACCCAACCAACCTGGTCCATTGTGAACTGAGCCCAGCACAGGTGGCGTGACTCTGAGCAAGTGGCATGAAAAGAGGCAAAATGGGAAATGAGAAGCAGGGGCCACAGCAAACCGGAACGCGCCACAAAAACCTAGTGTGAAACCGAACGCTTGCAAGCTTGGATCTGGGCCTTCAGGCGAAGTAGCATGCGAACCGTGTCTTCGGGGTTACACGGTGGAACATCAGCACACGAGATTGGGGGCGCAAAAAAGATATGTGAAGAGAATCAAGCACAATTTGACCACACACAAGTTTGGGACGAACTTTGAATCCCGCAAGTCGAACACCAAATGGAAAAGCGCACAAGGATTCCGCATAGGTGATCATCTGATCACGGGGAAAAAGTGGTTGATCTGAAACATAGTGCATGGCAACAAGAGTTCTGCGAAAACCCTACCCAACCAACCATTCATTCATATTGAAAGATAATCATCATACTTCCCCCTCCTGAAGGAGCCAAATCCAGGATGGGCCACAGAAGGGTTGTTGGTCTATTCAAGCTGGTGGGCTTCGATGCTTTCCGAAGTAAACCAGAGAGGTCAGGCATCGAAGTTCGTTAGCTCATTTGATTGGGGGTGTTGTCCCCATTGGTTTTGGAGAAGGGTTCTCTGTGACCAACTAGCTTGTAGCCTAGGCATGTCCTACCAAATTCATGTCCGGAACCTATGTGCACGCTCCCAAGTTTCTAGCAGCAGCTTATCCTGGCTCTGCAACCTTCTCCCCAGCTCTTCGATCATCCCACTTCTCTCTCTTCTAGCGCGAAAAATACATGCGTTCTCCGCAAGCCTTCTCCATCATCAGACCCACTCGTCTTCGAGCAAAATCTGTCAACTTGGATGCCACGCGGGCGGAGGCAGCCACGAGCATTTCGAAGGACAAACATCGACCAGCCTGGCCAGGATCAGGTGCGGAACGCAGGAATTGCAGGGACTGGGGAGGTTTTGGAAGACCAAGTAGGTCAAGTGCTAAGCAGCTCAACACCACCTGCCACCTGCTGGTGAGTAATCCATATATACTGTAACCCATACACGGTCAGAAGGTGACCACTGAGGACTGAGGGCGACCACTGAGGGCGACGGGACGTGGGACGTGACCCACAGAGCTTGAGGGTATTCGCCGACGACATCCGAAGCGCCTGGGCTTCCTCCGTCTGGTGGGGGAAAGGCGTGAATGCTTTGTGGCCCTCTTACTGCAGGAACTAGAAGCTATACTAGGTGGAGGCCATCGCTACTAACAATAAAGCTTTGTAACTAGAAGTTTCTGTTGGTCAAACTTAAGCTGGGACTCAGTGATTGGTGGTGTGGGGATGGGAAATGCAAAAAGTACCATGCCTTCGCACGAGTGCTTGCTCACTCCCCGTAGCCCTGCACAAGGCCCCAACTGCCTGCATTTGCACCGCACAGCTCTTGGGCGTGCGCTTCGCTTGTTGAAGGATCAGCTGATGCACCGCAAGCTGTGGCAACGGCACAGAGGAGCCCACGCAACCCTCGTGCAGCTGGCGCCTTGTGGCCCCGAGACACGGCGACCAAGGCCAGCACGCCGTCGATTTCGGTGGCGTAGTAGGTGGGATAATGGGTATTGATGGCACTGGTGGTGGTGTTCGACGGTGGGACAGTCCGTGAGGTGGCATTCTTTCAGTTCTGAGTTCTGAGGTGCCAATCTTCTAAACCGTAGCTATCATCCACCAGCACGAGTTCGGCAGGAGATGGAGCGAGATGGAGCGGAGATGGAGCGGAGGTTGCGTCAGATGGAAGCCACCGCCAGACGGTCACAGAGGGCTCTGAAAGTTCCTCATATGGAACTTGGTGGCATTGGTGGTAGGTTGGAGGCCATCACTAGTAGGTGACCGTGGTCCAGGTGACTCCGTGAGATCTCATGATGTCCAACATTCGGAAGACCAGGATCAAAGGTTACCCGTAGCATCCCGTAGCATGAGTTGGGTTTTTGCGATACCAACCCGCCCCCAAACCACAACGGCCCGCCCCTCCGCTCGCCCTCCGGCTCGCCACCGGCGCCTTTCGCTGGGCGCGAGCCAGGTCCAAGGCTTCAGCTCCACGTGGAGCTCCGTCAGCAGCTCCGCCCACTGTGCGGCCAGCCACTCCCCGCAGCCGTCGCGGAGCTCCCACAGAGCTGCGAGGGCGGTGGGAATGGTGATGCTGGTGGGAACACGGTTGTGGGGAATTGAAAGGTTCGTCTGGTGAGACCAGAGCGCAGTGGTGAAGGATTGGGAATGGTCTAGGGTTGCCTTGTTTCGGCACTGCATCTCCTGATTTGGGATGGAGAAAGATGTCTCACATCAATCAGATGTTGTTCCAACCACGTGGTTGAAACTCCTGCAGGGACCGATCTTCCTGCATTTCAGTTCCCTTTTGATGTCCCCATCTTCCAGCGTTCAAAATACTAGTATACTCCCGCCACCTCATATCCCAACATCGCTTTCACACACACTCTCTCGCGGTCTCTCTCGTGAGATTTTCCGTCGGCCTTTGTATCCATCGAAGCGTCGTGATCTCACCAAATCCAGCGACAGCTCAAACCTCGTTGATGCATCCGGACCCACACGAACCCACATCTCTCAACAACCAGAAAAGCATGGTGCCAAAAGGAAGCGGATTGTTGAGGTGCTTCAGGTGTCCTCAGTTTCCTCCACCAGTTCAGGCTTGTGAGAGACCCATGGTTGGAGCTCTCTTGCAAACTGAATGAACCACTACCAACTTGATCCATGTCGCATATTTCGCAGCACAGTCATCGGAGCTCACCTTTGGACCCCAGACCCCCAGGTCCTCTGCCCCCCCAAATCAAAACACCACATGCCTTAGCTTTCCAAGGATCGAAACCACCCTTCCGACGCGGTGGCCCGGATCGGTTCTGGCGAAGTCTTCTTCCGCCCGACGAGGCACTTGGCGTCTTGCTTGACGTCCAGGTGAGTGAGACTCCAGGGTTGCGAGACGACGCCCCTGGCGACCTCACGAACGCACCCGAGCGCACCGAGGAGAGCGCTGCGCATCGAGGGGCGCTGCAGAGCGCAAGAAATCCGTGTTGGTGGTCGCACGAGGCGAGAGTCCGTTGGTTCGGGCGACTCAACGACTCAGGTGGGAAATGGCGGGGGAAACCGATCCCCAACTGTGCAAAGAAGTCTGGATGAACAGTTCACTGATTTGATCTACCGAAAAAGAGTCAAATCTCAAAGGCTAGGGCGATGGTTCGCGCCTTTGAAACCGGTTTCCAAAGCCCAGTTTTTCTGGCATCCTTGCTGCTCCTCTCTCCCAGACTCTTCCCATTGGGCCCCTTTCCGACGGTTGTGGCCGCTCCTCAGGTTGAAACGCCTCTTCGTGGACATCAAACATCGTCTGCAGCTCAGAGGTCCCCTGCACCGCGATCAGTTTGGAACTCTGACTGTCCTTCGATCCCAGATGGTCCGTTTTGCCTCATGTCACCTAAAAGTTATGAGCTACCAGACACCGGGACTTCCAAACAGGAGAATACCCGATGTATTCCGGACTGTTCCCATCGATAATCTTGCGGTTTTCCGTCAGATTCCAGGTGACTTCAGTGCAAGGTCAGAACCATCATCTTCCAGGACTCACCAAGAGGTCCATGATGGTCCATGGAACTGCTGGATCATGCATCATCGCCTCTGGGCGCAACTCTTGCAAGAGCTTCTGGAAGGGAACGTGTGAAGTCTGCAAGGCAGCCAAAAGTTGCTTCTGCACTTGCCCTGGCCGAGTCTCGTACCGTTTCGGACGGGTAGGGTAGGGCCAGGGCTGCTCCAGGGCCTGGAATGAAGACCACACAACTCAAAGGAACAACCGGAGGGAAAACAAGTAAGAAACGACATGTTGAGTTTCATGTCTTCCTAGTAAGATCTTCTAGTTACTAGTTTGTGCGCAGCTTTGCCATTATGGGTGGCATGGTCTCGAAATGCGAGGAGAAGTAAGAGATAAAAAAGGCAAAACGCCAAAGGAAGGAGGCGTGTTTTGGAATTTTTGGACACTCCAGCACATGGCAACTCGTGTGTTGAGTCCACTCTCCAACGGCTCGTTGGCCCCTTTTCATCACCTGGGGACGACCCTGAGTTCGATCGCTGCTTTCACTGTCGCATGGGATGACGTCTCGGCATTGGCCGGACCACTGTGATCCTCTCCCCCCCACACTCACCACAACACCTCAACCGCAACAAAAACGGCACCAACCACGCGAGATCACAACGAGAAACACGAAGAAATCACCGGCAGCACCGAGAAACGCGGAAATCGGGGCGGTGCGGCGCCTAGGATCGAACGGAAGGAGAGTGCGTGATGCTGCTCAGTGAGGCACACCCGCACCAGACTGGTGTTCACAAAGCAACCCACCATCTGCTCGGTGCCATCATAGCTGTGCCTGTTGCAAAAGGTTGAAATGTTTCAGCTATGCCAGAAACCGGGGGTGAGCCGGTGAGCGTTCTTCCGGACCGCCACTAGGTGGGCACCTCGTGTTATCTCATTGATCACATGTCTATAATCATTTGCTGTATTGGGGTCGCAGATCGCACAGTTTCTGCCTCATGCCGTGAAGCACTGCTGGTCCTGTCCACCTCTTTTAAACCCAAAAACGGCCTCCCCATCGCCACTCTCGTCACGCCGAAGTCCAGTTCAGCGCCGTCATGTCAGGTTTCTGGTGACTCGAGACCTGCAACAGTTCAGTGACTCCCGGCCTCCGGGAGACCGGGATGCCAATGACGAGGTCCTTTTGCTGACAGCATCGCCCCAAAAGTGCCCCATAGGCCGCCAGCAGGACGGTGAATTCTGTCACACCCTCCTGCTGCGCCAGGCGCCGCACCGGCTCTGCCGGGGCGAAGGAGGTCCAGCGCTGTGGGGCTCCACGGCCAGGGGCAGCTCTGGGCAGCTGCAGTTGGAAGGTGCAGCCCTGCGGCTGGGATAGGTCGATCTGAAGGCATGATTCCTCTAACAATGGCAGAAAATGGAGGGATCTTCACTCGGAAGTGCTTGACAAATGGTGCCAAATATCAGCATTACATCGGGTGTTGCTGGTTGGACGCTGACAAGTGGCAATGATTCCAAACCTGGAAGCACCACTAAAGAGTGTAGTTCAGGAAAGCGACAGAAGCCACGAAAAAGACAAAAGTTGTAGAAACCAGAAGCCGCAGAAGTCAAGAGCCAGAAGCCAGGGAAGCTACCAAATACCACCAAAAATACCAAAAGTTAGCAAAAAACTAAGCCCGGGCCCATGCAGAATAAAGAACAACAAATATTCCTCTCAAATGCACCCTCCTTTCAGAAGACCAACAAAAATTATCTGAGACTTGCGACCTCACAGCTTGTACGCGTCGCGTTCCATCACCCTCCCCTCCTACAGTCAGCTTCTTCCCCCCCCAACGCCGTTTGGCCTTCAAGCGTTCCATCATCACCACGAGCTGGGCGCCGCTTTCGCTCCCGCGCTGCTGGCGCTGCTGGCGCGAAAGCGAAGAGGCCAGCAGCGAAGGCAGGGGCGGCAGCGCAAGGTCCTCGTCCAACAAGGTGAAATCCAAGGAGTTCTTCTTTCGTGTATAGTTTCAGAGTAGATGGCGCAAACCCCATGATGTCCTTTAGGTGAGGGTCCATATAAACCACCACTTGGGGTCTGTGCCATCTACTCTCAATCCAAGTGTAATATGTATATATATATAGAGAGAGATGGAGCAATCAATGTCAATGACCCACATAATATTGTGTCGGGGGTCAAAATTCCAATGTCTCGCGCCGCAGTCATCTGGAGCCTGAATTTGCCTTCAGTTCAGTTCGCGTTCAAGGATTGTGGTACATCCCGCTTTCGAGCAAATCCCGCCGCAGCTCCGCAGCTTCGCACCTCGTAAAAGGCCCACAGATCGCGCTGAAAGTATCTCAAGGATCCACCATCAAAGGCCACATGATGCACATTCACATAGAGCCTTAGATCGGCCATGGCAGCGGTGGAGCCCCATGGTGCAAAGATACGGATGGGGTGTCAAGTATCGACTTTGGAACGATGACAAGAATTGGCCATGTTCCGGGAACGATGCACTCCTCCTGTTTCTGGAAAACGAAAGGGCGGAACCGCGGAACCGCGGAGTGTGGAACTGCACTTGGGTGGGAAGGTCGATGCATGTCGTCGTGGCGGGAGATATGGGGTTGGCTCAAGCCTCACTGCCCGCCACCATGCTTAGAAGGGCGTTGGAGCGACCTTTCCACGTGTGAGCCCCATGCGCCGTGGTGGTCAGTGGAGGCGTTCTCCCGCAGGTGGCGCAGACAGGCGTCATGGTGGGAAAAACGGCGTAGAGCAGGTTGGCCTTGGCACAACCTCAGGCAGAAGGGCCAACGCCTTGGCACCTCGTGGCATAGATTGCTCGGCGGCGTGGGTGGCAGTACGTAGTGGCCTGATGGCTGAGCCATAGAGGTGAGCCGTCACATAGCCGTCGCCATTCGACCACGGGTCCACCACTCCATGTCCACGACCAATCGACTGATGGACGCCCCGTTTAAAGCCTGAGAGGACAACACTATAGTCAAATGATCGCCAGTACTTTCACGCGCTCACGTGCTTTCGAGCACTCGAGCACCATCCCTGCTTTCCCGTCCTCAAGAGAGAGCCAATGCGGGCCTATGGCCTCATGCCTAAGCAGGGGCGCTGTCTCCCGCTGTCTCCTGTCTCCTACTTAAAGACTAAGCGACCTTGAACGTTCCGCGACACTCCTCGGTTGCCCTTTGGCAACAGGGGAATAGGAGCTCGGGCAGAACAACTCCCATCGAAGCCTGCGCCCCAATGCGATCGCAGATGGCCGTCTGCAAGGCAGCGCTCCTGGCAGCGCCATGTGGGCCATGGCGTGGCGTGACAGTTTCTGGCTTCGCCCTGGGGCACAAGAGGGGCGATATCCACCGGCAAGTCGACCTCAAAGGCTTGGCCATAGCTGCTCCGATGCATTCAGTAAGCTTGAGGTCGGTATTTGGGGCGGAGGTTCTCCCGTAGAGGAGGCTTTGCCTCGCCTTGACCTTTGGGAGGTTCAAGGATATGATGCATCAGGTCCAAGCAGCCAGGTGCACATTTAGGCAAGGGTGCCTTCCCTAGGGATCCAAGTACCTTCTCAGAAGGTACTTGGACCCTCAAAACCTACGTTACATTGGAGTGTCTCCAATCACCTTCTGAGAAGGTACTTGGATCGCTAGGGCTTCATCATCTCAGCCAGGCTGGTCTTCTTGACAAATTTTCTACCACGGCTAAAGCAGATCTGCTTTGCCGTTCCATGATCTGCTGCCTCAGCTGTTTCAGCATTGGGTGAGCCGGCATTTCCTTGCACACGCTGGCTTGTTTAGATGTCTGGCTTGCATGTAGAAGATGCTTAGCCAACCCCACAACTTCTGAGTATGTTTGGGCGCGAGGGATCAGGGGGGTCTGGGCCATATCAGCGCGAAACTGACACACCGCCACGGACGTATCCTGGTCCGGCTTTTGGCAAAATAGAACGAGATTGCAATGAAACATGTCTTGGCGCATTCTCTATCATTGCTGTCAGTGAGACCCAAGAGATCCAAACATGGAGGGTCATGTGGAGGCTAAAAACATTGCGGTGAGTTTGTCAACTCATGAGCCTTGCTGCACCGCACTGACTGAGATTTTACCTAAAGGCTGTCTAGCCCAAGCAACCCCACGAAGCCCTTCAGCCTAGGACTGGGTGTGTCGGTGTCAGGGCACGAATTAAAAGCCAAAGACGGATCTTGATCTCAATGGATTGGTCGCCGTTTTTTCAGCGCGACTCGAACACACGAGCAGTGGTGCAGCAGCTGCATCCAGTGTATCTGATGGTTAGGTGCATCGGTGCATCTGCCGCCGTGCTCTTTGCAGTCGCACGCTGTTGTGCGGGAAAATGCCAGCACCGGGCAAGGTCAAATGCCCGAGGCTGGTGGTCTATAGCCTATAGCCTATACAAACGGTCTGAGTTGAGGCATGATGGTCTAAGTGGGTAAGCACTGCTCTGCCAAGATATGACTAGCCACAGTGGTTGAACAACCCTGTTGCCTAAAGGTCTTTTAGGCCCCTGGTGATATTGATTTGGTTGTATAGGATTGACCTATCGATTGGATACGACCTATAAGAACTTGAGGATCACGATAAAACCATATGGAACTTAGATCTGGCGCAGCAAAACCTGCTCTTTGCCTGGTCAAACACACTCAAACTGGAATCTTCTTCATGTTGCATCTTTGGATTGGATTGATGGATGTTGAGAGAGTCCCAGTCATCGCATGCAGGCCCAGTGGCAGAATCTCCTCATCGCCTTCCGTCATCTGACGAATCACGCGAATGCGAATAGGGCCTCGGGCCGATGAGACCTGGATTTCCAGTCTTTCCAACCAGAAATATGTCTTCAATGTGCTTCAATCTCAGCATTGAGTGGAGACGGATATCCATTGACCATCATTGACCATCGATCTTAAATCTTCGGGTCATTCTTCCGCGGTCATGTGAACGCTCGGGCGGTCATCGGTGCACCCAAGAAGCTCTGGGAAAGGTCAAAACCCGCTGCCATGTCCTCAAGGAGAAGGACCTCAAGCCAACAGAGGCCTGCAAACCAACATGAACACTGTTCAAACCATCACAAAAAGGCATTACCACTCTAGTTCTACGAGTACATACCACATGCAGTCTTCATGTTTAGTTGCACTGACACTCCTCCTTCATCAGCACTTGGCATCTACTGATTTCTTTGCGGGAGAAAAAAAAGGCTATTCCCAAGAGTCTACCAGGTTTGCTGTTCTAGCTGTTTTGCTTTGAAAGAATCAAGCTCTTTGAAGAGCAGTCCCTTCACTTCCAACCTTCACCTTCACAGCTGAGGCTTCGCATTCTTAGCTCCTGTGGCTTATTTCATGTATCCTAGTTTCCTGCTTCGCTAGTTCCTTTATTCTACTGATTTCTACTGTAGTGCAGTTTGTCCTTCTCGGCTTGGTTCTTGGTTAGCTCTCGTCATGTCAGCGAAGAAGTATTCGGCAGTCCAACATCCAACCTTCCCCTTGTTGTAGATGCATTTGCTTTTGGAAAAGCATGGAAAAGCTGTTTTCAGTAGACTTTGGTAGGTGCAACTTGTTATACCTTCCTGCCGGCCAAATACCTGAAATACCTAGCTGTGGTAAGCCCTCCACCAACTCATAAGACTGGAGTGAACTCCAATATATTCATTGACGACCCCCACGTTTCACCCTGGCCTGCCGCTGCTCGTCACACACCTTCACCTCCATCTCTCGAAAGTCGTGGATGTGGATCCAGCCGCTGGCAATCCTTGACTAATTAATCCCGAGTACCTATTAATAAACACTCCCCAATTAAAAAAACACAACGTCCGAACGCCTAAATTCGGTTTATATTTGGTTTTAAATTGCCGCCCTATCAAACCGCTACTAAACTACCAACACGGTCGATTTTGGGGGTAGTTTTTTTAATTAGGTTCCCCAAAACTCCACGCCGCGCTTACACCAGCAGGCTTTCCTTCCCATAATGGCACGGACTCACGCAAACGCACTTGCCACCGAGGTCATGCAACACCGCATGGCACAGCGACATCACCTTTCGAAAGCTTTAGCTGTTATAGTCTACTGAAGAATCACTATTCTAATGAAGGTTTTTGTAGGGGAAAAGGAAGACCCCTTCGATCTGGAGGTTTTTTGCATTTTTGATACGAGTTTAATAAAGGATTTTATACAAATTTTTCCTGGATTACTTTTTGGTTTTGAAACTCTTTCCAGGTGACCCTATTTTGGAGCCCCCCGATTTCAGGGACCCCCTATTAGGGCTCCACTCATCCCAATGGGAAGGGCTTGTCTCACGGCTATGGCAATGTACTCGTTAAAGAAAGTGTGAGCAAGAGGTTGAAAGTGTTGTACTTCTATGTGCATAGAAGGCCATAAACAGGCTTGCTGTTTCTTTCTCTCTTCCCGAAGATTGGGGCCGCGAAAAAAGAAAAAACACTCAGCTTTCACAAGGCATCCCAAGCAGAAAGGACGCCGAGAGGCTCAGAGTCCACCGCATGCTGGAGTAGTTGGCCACCTGGCGAAGCGAAGGAGTTTCTCCACCCAGCTGGCCGAGCTGAACCGGTCTGTGGTGGACATCAGCGTCCCATCCCTTAATCCTTGGTCCACTTCCCCCGTATTGACTTAGAAAAAATGGGGGACCAATGACTGGATCTAACCACCTTGTGCACCATTCCCGCCCAGTCGGTGCAAAGCCATACAAACCAAAGGACCTTCAATCGAATGAGCTGGCACCTGCTTTTCGACCGCCAAAAGTTCAGCAGTGGGCGCTTTCCTCACCAACACCTCCCAGCATGTTTGTATTTGTTCCAAGGTTTGCTTATTGTTGATTGACTACTTTGGGGATTTCGCTTCTTCATCTTCAGGGCCGACAAGCGTCGCGTACCCAATTCAGAGCAACTAGATTTGTTGGAAGTGAGATTTACATTACACTACTGACCTACTGACACTACCAAGCACTACTACAGATCTTTGTCGTCAACTGCGCCCTTAAGAAAAAAGGTGGCCGCAATCACATGCACTAATGCACTGGTTCACAAGGACGCACTGATTTTTGTTCCACTGCTGACAGGGACCGGGCAGAAGAGAAAAGAACCGGGTCCACGCCCAAAAAAGCACAGCCAGCTGTTAGCCCAGAGGAACCCTCCCTGCCTTCGGCCTCCTTCAAAAGGGTGCGCAGGAGCTCGTGCCGTCGAAGCACCGAGCACAAAGCTCTTCTGAGACGATCCACGTCCAGGCGCTCCCCCCGCAAGCGGTAGGCGAAGGGAATGGAATACCTTAGACCCCAGTACTGCCAGTGCCAGCACCATTTTGTGTCCTCCACAGTGGGTTCATAGTCATGGTTTGCATGTTGTCTGGGTCGAACATTCTGTAATTTCCACCAACTTTTGCAATTCGATAAAGGAG